CGTTGATTAAGGGAAAACTAAGTGTTTCTGCGATGGAACTAAAAAATTGGGCCGCCAGGAATGCGCTCAAACATGCCTATGGCGTCGGCCAAGGGGCCACCCGCAGGCCACAAAACGGCTAAGGCCCTGCACCCGACAGTTGACCCAAGTCAATTGTAAGGCAGAATATTAAGGCTCGCAAGTCAAAGTCTTCACGTACCCAGCCCTGGCCATCGATCAGACACACACACTTGATTGTCCGTAGGGATCCAGGCAGCATTCGGTCCAAGTGGAAGTATGTAACTGTACGAGATCCAGACCGTCGGCTGTGAGTCAACCTGAGCCTCCGCACGTGAGGGACCAGAGGCTGGTCAACAGAGTCAACATTATTTATTGACTCAGCCCCTGGGAGTCAACATTCAGTCTTGCCTTGCTGCTTGACGTTGGCTTGATGGTGGCTGGACGCTGGCAAGACACTTGCTCTATGCTAGCATTGTGCGATGACGACGCAAGACTGCTGTTTTGCGTGCTGGCGCCTCTCTGCTTCTGGCACCAGCTGTCTTCTTGGATGCTGACGTGGCACTTGCCACGCTGTCTTGGCATTGCTGACGTGGCGCATGCCACATTGTCTTCGACACTGATTGGGAATGCGACAAGGAGGGAGATTGGGATCTGTGGGATGATTGAGTGAGAGAGAGGAGACTTACCTGTTGATGTTGTCGACATTGCACGCTGCAGAGACGTCTTCATGGGAGAACTGTGCCTATGTGACACTATGTTGTGATCAGATCTCATCAGGCTCGTTTCTGGGACACTGTTTGCTGACGTGGATGTGGGGTTGACGCCTGGAGAAGGAGTGGGGAATAAGGGTGTTCGGTCTACGTGGACATTCATGGATACATTCTCTTCTACCCTCTAAGTCTAACCTCCCCCCTTCCTCCTTCGTCCTATGGTTGTATTACAGATAACATTTCATGATTATTGGAGACATTTATCAGCGCTGAGTCAGCTTGTATTTCGACACTTACGAGTTTCCAGACTGGGTTCATTACATAATCCGGACCGCCTGGGTCCAGCTTTGTCCGATGTCTGGAAGATGTCCGAAGTGGACCAGACACAGGTCCAGTTTTGTGTCTGGACATGCTGGGTGTCCGGGTCCGGTTTTTTTTTTTTTTGTTTCTGTTTTCCTTTCATTGTTCTTTCTTTTTCTCTTCCTTCATAATCAATCTCTCTCTCTCTCTCTCTCTCTCTCTCTCTCTCTCTCTCTCTCTCTCTCTCTCTCTCTCTCTCTCTCTCTCTCTCCCCAGGAGATACTGCAGATACGAGAAAAGTGAGCCAAGCCAGGATGGATAGCATGCTGCGAGTTCTAAGTTATGGCACAAAGCGACAAGGAGGGTTACCAATAGAGCCCATAGTAGTTGCAGCCGCAGCAGGAAGCAGCATGCAGACAACGGAGAGGGAGTACTTCAGTGTAAAATAATAAAATATCGTTTTGGACTTGCCAAGGGAACAGAAAACAAAAACAAAGGGTTATCGAAATTCTAACTACACCGTTACTATGACTCTATGAGGGCAAAAATAATTCAAATTTCCGAAAAGAAAAAGGACATCAAAGTTATTCTAGAAGAGATGGGGAAGGGCTGAGACAACACATGCCTTCAATTTTTTGGCAGACTGGGTCGTTGACAGCGATCCCGGTGGGATTAGGGACTGCAGATCGCCAAGAGGTCGGGGGGCCACATTCCCACCGCGCAACAAGTTCTCAATCGCCCTGTACCAAAACGACAAATGGAAAATAAACAAAACGAATGAAAATATTGTAACAAAACAGTTACACTAGAGATTTCTGCAACCATAAAAAAAAAGGGTAGACAAATGCTGCACTGATCTGGTGTTTGATTCAACATTTTCCATCGCCTGTACTCTCACAAGGTAGACAATACAAGGTAGATAGCCCCTGGCATAAAAAAGTTGGTGAGATACATCATCAACAAAAGAATTGATGTCACACTGTTGTTCTTCGACTTCGAGAAGGCGTATGACCAGGTGAGTTCGGGTTTATTGCAACAATGCATGTAAAAAATGGGTAAGGTACTATACAACAATGCACCCAGACAGGTCCAAGCCAATGGCCACTTATGGGAAAAGTATAAAATGTCCAGATCATTCAGGCAGGGGTATCCACTAGCTGCACCTATATTTTTGTTCATAATGGAAGCAATACACTCATTTGAATGGATTCACACTGCAGTGAGTACAGTGCCTGTAGGAGCATGCCAGTCCCCAAAGTCCAAAATTTGCAGCAGCCTACCAACGGAAATCGGGAACTTTCCCAAAATAGCAACTTGGCAAGGCAGATGCAGAAGGAGGCCAGTACCGATTGAAGCAGGCACACCCAGCCCACTGCAACTACATATTTTGGGCTACAGTGCCGGAGGACAGTCAGTGGTTCATTTCGCAAATTTGTGGAAGCGCTGCTGGAGCTCGTGCGGACAAGGGAGCTGGACAAAGAAGTGCGCTGAAGGGAGGAAGAAGACCGGCACCCTGGCTGCGACAGACCACCATAGCCAGGCGAGGGGAGATGTAGTGTTTGGCAGCCATAGCCACCCGTTTGTTGTGAGGCACACCGCAGAGGCATTCAGTGAAACAGTATTCACCTGTTCGCAGTAGCGAGTGCAGATCCCAGGGCTCGATCCCTAGACTTAACCTTTCCTGCGTACATTACCTGTGTCGACCCCGAGAGTTGAACCTGCGACCTGTGTATTTGTAACAGTTGGTAGACTGTCGGAGGGTCTGTGGGTGTAGGGGTTCGATCTCTAGACCTGTCGTCTGAAGGTCTAAGAGGTTCTAGAAGTCGTAGATGTAGGACCTCTGAAAGGTCAAGGTCATAGCTGCTACAGTACCCGAAAGGCCAGAGTTGAAACTTCCGGAAGGTCCTGGTACTGGCCATTCGGAGCTGCTCACGTTTAGGCTGAGGCAAGTGGGCAAGTGGTGGAGTTACCCCGTGCTGAGTCAGCAGTCCCAGTCCCAGTCAGTCCTAGTCCAGTCAAGCAAGTACCGTATGGGACTGTGTGCACCACGGGCATGGGAAAGGGCCAGACCATCGGGCTACAGAAGTATAAATCA